AATCCTGTCAATCTACGGTAATCTTAATAAATCTAGTCACTTCAGTTTGTACCAGACACCTCTGCTTACAAATAAACCATCATTTTGGAAATGTCCATGGAGATTCTCAATCATCCAGGTCATGGTTGTCTCAAAGGTGCTTTTTTATTTCTTTTTCCAAAAGGCAATTGGATTTCCTTGTTTTTTTGTGTGTATTTTTCCCCCCTTTAAAAGCATTTCACTTCTCACCCAAAAAGCTGCTTCAGAACTGAAGAAGCTTCTTGGATGAGAAGCGAAACGTTTTCAAAGACCAAACCAAGAAAACTCAGTTGCCTTTTGGGGGAAAAAAAATCACCTTTGGGACAATCATTTTGGAAGAGTAGCTGTTTTTTCATCCCAAGCAAGCATCAGGAGATTTTGGGCCATTTCTATGGTTTGGGATGCTTTGACGTTGCCTCTGGTGCCGTTTTGGCGTTGTTTTAAATCTCCCTTTTGCTTCTTAAATTGCCTGCTTTTAATTCCTCCAATTGCACCTCAATTGGATGCCTGTGCAGATTGCTTCAATAGATTCCACCCAAGTTTTTTTTTTTTTTTTTAGTTCTTCTCCCTTTCAAGAAACCTCTGGGACCCCGAGGAAATCTCCTGATAACACTTTGAGCTTAATGTTATATTGGTTTCGACCTCCTGCAGGAAAAAAACTTGGAGTGGTTTCCCCGGATGAGAGCCATGTCCCTGGTCAGCAACGAAGGGGATAACGAACAGAACGAAATCAGGAATCTGCAAGAAAGGTTGGAGTCCACCATGAGTTTGGTCAAGCAGCTGTCCAGCCAACTAGCTGAGCTTAAAGAGCAGGTGAGCTGCTCTCTCTCGCTCTCTCTCTCTCTCTCTCTCTCTCTCTCTGTCTGTCTCTCTGTCTGTCTGTCTCTCTCTCTCTGTTTCTGTCTGTCTCTCTGTGTCTGTCTCTCTGTCTGACTGTCTGTATGTCTCTGTGTCTCTCTCTTTGCCTGTCTCTCTCTGTCTGTCTCTCGTCTGTGTCTCTCTGTCTGTCTCTCTGTCTCTGTCTGTCTCTCTGTGTGTCTGTCTCTCTGTCTGACTGTCTGTCTGTCTGTTTGTCTCTCTCTTTGTCTCTGTCTGTCTGTCTCTCTTTGTCTGTCTCTCTCTGTCTGTCTGTCTCTCTCTCTCTTTGTCTGTCTCTGTCTGTCTCTCTCTCTCTCTGTGTGTGTGTCTCTCTCTCTCTGTCTCTCTCTGTGTGTCTCTGTCTGTCTGTCTGTCTGTCTGTCTGTCTGTCTCTCTCTCTCTTTCTGTCTGTCTCTCTCTCTCTCTGTGTCTGTCTCTGTCTCTCTCTTCCCTCTCCTCCCTCCCCATGTTGGAGCTCAGGGTTGAACTGTGGGTTCCCTTGGTGCCCTCTGAGTTTAGTTTTTTCCATGCAGATGTTTCATTACCCAACTAGGTAACCGCCTCAGTGCTAGAAGGAAACAAAAAGACCAAAACATCTCCTCACCAGAAATCAACACCCAGGTGAGCAGAGATTAAGACCAAGATTAACAGTACACCAACAATCACGCCATGAACAAAAACCCCAATTCGAGAACCTACCAACTCAAACAATCAAACAATAAACAATAGACTACTCGAACAACCTCCAAGAACAAAAATACACTTTCACCAACACCGACAGGGCAAGCCACTTGTATATCAACAGAGAGCAACCCCTCTCACTTGTAGCGTGGATGATGTTACTTAGTTGGGTAATGAAATGTCTGCAAGGAAACAAACTCAGAGAAGATCAAAGACCCCACAATCTTCCTCCTCCTCCTCCTCCTCCTCCTCCACC